GGGGTGAGGCGGGGGATGGGCTTGGCGGCGCGGCGGGCTGACCCGCGGGAGGCCGCGGCTGGCGCGCCTTGCCGGGCTACCCGGGACCTCGCCGCCCTGCAGTTTTGGGTGTGGGGTCTGCTCAGCAGGCGGAGGGCTCCCCGCGACCACATTCTGGGTGCTGTCCTCTTTGTGGCTCCCACTGCTTAGCAGGGTGTCCGGCACTCGACGGGTTCCGAGAAATATTTGTCGAATGAATGAACGAAATAACGAGGGAACAAAGTGTAAACAGCTGGGGGGAGGGAGGGTTCTGCATCCATGTTCCTTAAATCCCCTGGCTTCCCCCCTCTCTTACCCACATTTGAAATGATACGAAAAAGAAATAGACTTACGGCAAAGAGAGCTGCCTTTCGAGTCGCTAGTGTCCCCAGCTAGGAAGAGCTGGACTTTCAGCAGCAACTGTACCTGTCTTTCCCGTCCAGCGCACTGGGTCCTTAGAGCAGCTCTGCGAGTTAGACGGAGCAGATAGTATTGCTTCCCTTTTAGGGAGAAGGAAATGCCTCCTAAGTGGGGGAACACGGACGGAACTCAGAGTGATTGATTCCAAATTCTTTCTTTTTTTCACCAAATTCCAAGTATAATTGATGACAGAAGCTCTGTCTCATGGTTCTGATTTCAAAGAAATGATAGGAAAGAATATATGCATAAATACTTGTACATACACACACACACACACATATATATATATATATATATATATATATATATATACCCTTTTTTTTCCTACTGATACCACGAATGATATTTTAAGCAATTAGATTTTGTGTTTGGAAAATATTCTAGCATCTATTTTAGGGACAGAATTCCTTGCAATACATTCAGTCGATTAATTCCTAATTCTTAAAATCTTTTATTTGCACTCCACTTTCATAATATTAACATTAATTTGTTACTTTAATATGGCTATCAATTTAATACTGACCTCAATTCCTCCATCCAAATTCCACCTGAATTTCAAAAAAACATTTGCTGTTACTTGACAAATTGAGTTTCATAGATGAGTTGTGTAAAGTAACTCAGGTCATTAGTGCTAATAAGTGTTTCATGGTTCTCATTATGATTGAATGAAGAAAGTGATCATTTTATCTTAACTTGAGACCTTCCATTATTCTGTAAACCTTAGTCATATTCTCTATTCTTGTCTAAACTGAATGGATCAATGTATTTATTCTGACCCCAGGAAGGGAAAATGGAACTAGGAATGAAATTTAATGAAGTTTCAGGATGCCCAATATCACTCATGCTGTGTAGCTCTTTACCATTGGTAAGTACTTTTATGTTCATTAGTTCCTTATATGCTCAAAATGTACCATGCAACACAAGTGTAACAGGCGTTATTATAGCTCCTTTTAGCATATTAGGAACCTAAGGTTTAGAGAGAATAAAAAAATTTTGTCCAAGAGGATACATCTAGTTCAAGTGCAGCTAAGATATGAACCAAGATCATCTTACTTCAAATCCAGTGCTCTTCAAGCTCTGTCCTAAAATTGAGGTTGAGTAGGTTTCTTTAGCAGTCAGAATCTTGCACAGGTAACTGTAGATGTATTTAAAGCCATATTTTCACAAGAAAGAATGAATGTGAGCAGGGCTTGCAAAGCATAGGTATGTGAGAGTTCACATACTATGACAGATTTAAAGAAAATTTCAATACAGAATAGAAATACCCCATTCAATTTAATAGGAATAAAGATTTCATTTCAGGGTGAGACCTAAAACTTAAAATGCAAAGACCTATCCTCCCCCGCTCCTCACTGCTCCATGACTCCCCGCCATCAAGTAAGAACTGCAAAGCCTTGAATTTACCCTGAAATGTACCTATTATTAGATCTTTTCAGGTGAAATTGTTTTGAAAGGGATGAGGGAGAGGATCGAGGATGGTCTTTGGAAGAAAAGCTAAGGGATGAATTATGTAGAAGAAATAATAATCATTATAGACTGAACCTTAAACATTGAAAAACCTTCATTAACAAAACAGTTTTCATGCCAAAATTTATAATAGTAGTACAGAAAACAAACATACAACTTTAATATATGGAAGGTTATATAAATTATCTTTATGTCTGTCTTTTTATCAACATGGGAATATTTATTTTTATATCATTTTCAAAAGAAGGCTAAAAAATTATATATATATTACAATGAAAAGTTATGACTACCTTATGCATGGAAAATATTTTAGAAAAAAATTTTAATAATAATAATTATGAAATAACCATAGAATTGGAAGAATTCATTAAGGGCACCTAGTCCAACCCTTCATTTTATATAAAGAAACTCAGACCCAAAGAATTAAAATGATTTGACTAGTTTTATTTCTAGTTAATGACAAAAATAGAGATTAGAATCCAGGTTTTTTCCTTATGGTATCTTGCCACTTCTATAAGTGGAAGCAGGTTAAGGGAGTTTTCTGGAGATGCTTCAATGCATACTCCAGTTGAGAAAATAGCCATTCAGGAAAAGGAGATTCGGTCTTTAGAACCAAGGCCACCCTAGAGACAGCACTGTCCCATAGAAACATAATGCATACCACCTATCCACCCATGTAATTTAAAATATTCTAGTAGTCAAACTTAAAAAGTAAAAAGAAACAGGTGAAGTTAATTTGAATGTATATTTATTTAACCCAACATATCCAAAATATGTTTTCAACATATAGTCAGTATAAAAAATTGAGATATTTTACATTCTTTTGTTCTATACTTAGTCTTCAAAATCTGGTGTGTAGTTTATACTTCCAGCACAATCAGTTCCTAGAGCCATATTCAAGTGCTGAATAGCCACACATGACTGGTGGCTACCATATTGGACAGCATAGCCCTGGAATACAGGTGCCTGGTCAATGTACTAAAGCCTTTTGTTAAGTGTGAAGCCTCATACAATGAGAGAGATTCTAAGTAATTTGGGTGTGATTTGAGAGGGACTATGAAAGTCTCCTCCCTCAAAATCCTCATTAACCTTCTCTGCATTGGGAGAGGGATTGGAGAAAAGCATAACTAGGCCCCTTAGCCAGGCAGGGTGAGGCCTTTCACTGCATCATGACTCACAGTCCTGTCAATTCTCCTCATCAGGGCTGCTTCTCCAAAGAGAATTCAGACAATTCAGGTTTGATGGAAGGGCCTCTTTGTGTCGGCTGGCCAGGGGCCCAGGTGCCACAGAAGCACGTCCTCCTGATGGGAATTAGGAACACCGGATCTCATTTTAGGTTCAGAAAACAAAACTAAATTTTTTGGAAAATGGATTCCATGATTTTTTCCTATAGTTTTCCTTCTTAGAGGTCCTTAGTGTTTTGCTTTGTGGTTTTGGAAATGTAACCCTCTCTTGGATATTAAAGGGAACCAAAGATTTTTTACAGTCTTGAGCTAAAGTTTCATAGATGGAATAGCTTATTTCCTGGAATCAGGCATGGCAGGGTTAATGCTGAAGTGAAAGGTTCCCAATGGGGAAGACAAATTTGGAGCCAGGGGTCAACTCTTTCCAAAAGCTCATCTCTGTTAAAACATTTCAGGTCTCGAGCTAATATGATAGTGAGAAATTATTGGGTCAAAATCGAAGAAAGGCAAGAACCTAGAGAAGTGAGCCCAGAGCTCAATGCTGCTTTTGCCTGGAAGGCATTCGATGTTCTGGAAGGAATAACCACAAAACTGAGCGGCAGTTCTGGTAGTCTTGGGAAGCAAAGCGGCAAAAAGACAAAGCCTGGGCTCACCCCAGATAAGGAGTCAATAAATACCCTCTGCCTTTAAGCTGGAATCCCAAAGAGCTTTGCCCTCAGGAAAATGGTGAAGTGGAAATAAATCAGTCCTCTCACTAACCTGCAGCCCAGCTTTGGATCACCTAAGTAATTCAGGACAATCTCAGTCTCTGAGCATGGATAAGGCAGTGTTGGACTGGTAGATTAAGACACCTGGAGAATGTTAGCAAAAATTTTCTCTGGTGAAGATTAAAATCATTCTCAAATTCTTCCTAAGAATAATTTCTCAAATAGCAGAACAGACGCAAATATAATCTAGGAGCAGGAAACAAGATACCATCAGGGAAAACTGGTAGAAAGTACAGACCACAGAAACAGAACCACAGAAGATTTATATATTGGAATCAGACAAAGATTATAAAAATATGGATAATATGATTAAAGAAATAAAAATAAGATTGAAAAATCTGTATGGAGTGCTAAATATAAAAAGCAACTTGGTGTATTTGAAAAGGAACCAAATAGAAATTCTAAAGCTAAAAAAATTACTAATAACAAAAATTAAGAACACAGCAGATGTGTGTAATAGTAGATTTGATACAGGTACAGAGAGAATTTGTGAACTGGAAAATAGATCAGAAGAAATTTTCCAGATTGTAGGGAAAAGACAAAATATTGGAAAATATTTTAAGATGAAGGTTTACAACTTTAGTACTTATTAATAGAATTATTTGTTGTTATGAAAATAAAAATATATACTATATATGAAAGTATCTAGTACATGCCCTTGCATTTAGTGGGTACTCAAGAAGTATTTGTTGAATTTGAAATTTGGTTATTTCACAAATCATCTTTGTCACTTTTTATAAGTTCCATTTCTTTGTCAAAGTGTTCAGGTTTTTCTTTTAATTTTTAAACATATTAATCATAGTCATTTTTTATTCTGTGTCTTATAATTCCAATCTGAAATTTTGGGATCTATTACTGCTATTTCTTATCATGTTATCTTATTTTCTTGTATGTTTTATGAGTTTTGACTATAAGATAATTTGGGGGAGGATTTATTTCTGGGACATCTTTGAGGCTAGAATTGAGGTTAAATTCTTCCAGAGGATTTGCATTTGCTTTTGAGAGTTGCCTTCCGGCATAACCAACCCCAAATTATTTTATATTAAATTTTTGACAGGAGATTTTTAAGACAACACAGGTAATATGAATGAATGAAAAATAAGTGTAGGGACAACTATGATACAAATTTCCAGAGAAAGAATTTTCCTTCACTTAGGGTCAAAGTTAAGATAGGTATGTGTTCTGCTGTTCCATTTTTGTGACAAAAAAATAAGTGTCTTTTATTTTAGAATAGTTTTAGATTTACAGAACAATTATGAAGATAATACAGAGAGTTCCCATATACCCCACATCCAATAGCCCTTATTATTGACATCTTTTATTAGTATGGTCCATTTGTTACAATTAATAAACAAATGCTGATGTATTATTATTAACTACAGTTTGTACTTTACTCAGATTTCCTTAGTTTTTACCTAACATCCTTTTTTTCTGTTGCAAGATCCCACCCAGGATAACACATTACCTTTAGTTATCATGTCTTCTTAGGCATCTCTTGGCTTTGACAGCTTCTAAGAATTTCCTTGTTTTTGATGATCTTGACAGTTTTGAGAAGTGCTGGTCAGGTATTTTGTAGAATGTCCTTCAATTGGAATTTGTCTTGTGTTTTTCTCATGATTAGACTGGGATTATGGGTTTGGGGGAAGAAGATCACAGAAGTAAACTGCCATTTTCATCACATTGTATCAAGGGTACCTACTGTCCACATGGTTTATGATTGTGGGTGTTGATCTTGGTCACCTGATTGAGATAGTGTTTGTCAGGTCTCCCCACTGTAAAGTTACTCTCCTCTCCCTTTCCACTCTGTGCTCTTTGGATGGAAGTTATTATGTAGAGCCCACACTTAAGGAGTAAGGAGTTTTGCTCCATCACTTCCTTAAGGGTAGGGTATCTATATAAATTATTTGAAATTCTTCTGCATGGAAGTTTTGTCTCCTCTCTCTCATTTATTTATATCTGTATGGACTCATGGATATTTATTGTATACTTTGAATTATAATTCAAAGCTTTTTTATTTAGTTTGTTTCTCAAATTGTTCCAGCTTTGGCCATCGGGAATTCTTTCAGTTAACTTCTATGTCCCTTTGACATACTCTCATAATTGTGGGTTTTAGTTTAGTTTAGTTTGGGGTTTTTTTGAAGCACTTCATGACTTTCTGGCATTATAAGATGTTCCAGGCTCATCTATATCTATAAATATCTATATCTACAAGTATCTATGAATGCTTCTGTACGTAACCATTTGTTTCTTTATTAGGCTAAACATGAGTTCCCATTGTAATCTCCAACTAACCTATTATGTGGATCATTCTAACCTCCTCTCCTTGCTTATGTGTAAACTCCTACTCCAACAGGAAAAAACTGGCTCCCACCATCCACCATCTATTTACTTAATTACTCAACTGCATAAGTATACAGGTATCGCAGTATTGGAAGCGTTAACCTGTATCCTCTGAAAAACAACTTAATCAGTTAGAGTACAGTACTTATGTACAGTTAATTTTGCCTTTTTTACAGATTCTATTCATACCTAAAGTTACTTAGATCAGTACCTTTTCCCCTTACCTCTTTCATACATTTATAATACAGTTAGAATGTCACATTTTGCATTCCATCCTGGGATCCTTCAACCCCCTAAATCACTTTTTAAAAATTTGTATGCATTAAAGTTTACTCTTTGTCTGTCATTTACTTTTATAGTGAGAGTAGACTTTGGGGATCCCAGTTTTTTGCAGGGGTCTTCTATTGGAATCCTCACCTGGGCTGGTCCTGGGCTTTATATCCATTGCCCTTCTGCCCATAGTCATCACAGTGTAAGAAGAAACACTCAGGGCAAAGCTGCTGTTAGCATTCACTCCCTTGTTAGAGGTCTTGCTTCTACTTGGGTTTATAAATCTATCGGTTCCGTTCTTTCTTTCCAACTCAGCAATATATTTATATTTTATATTTTATTTGTTTTGATAAGGAGGGTTGTTCAGTATACCTAATCAAACATGCTGCCAGAAATGGAAGTCTTTTCTACATTATTTAAATTTTTTCATATCATATTATATATAAATGTTCTTTAAGTTTCCTCAGCTCTTTATTTTTAGAAACAGCAACAGTAAAAATTATGAATGAGTTAAATAAATAATGCTTCAAGATCAGCCCCCATCTGCTATAGATAGTGTTGTTAGTGAGAGATTAAAGAACAGGCTATAGCAATGTGTAGAGTAAGAGAATATGGCTTTAAAATGTATTTAGAACACAGATTTTATATTAGGAAATCTAACTATCATTATTTTATTGTTATTTAATTTTATTGAAATGACTTCTATGAATTGAGAATTACTTTCTGTGTATCTCTGAGTGTCATGTTTCCTAGTTATCCTATAAACAGTGGTTAATGTGCAGGTGGCTGAGTAAAACTGAATTAGAGATACATGAAGAAACAAATTTCAATGGATAAACATTCTATCGTCACCATGAGAGACTGCAGCTCCTGTTTTAGAGAGATACCAGTGTTTTATCCATTTTAGTGTCACCCTTCAATGAGCATGTGAAACAACATGAAGGTTGAAGGAAAGTGACTCCTAGTACCTTTGTTTCTTAGGTTTGTGTTGCAAGATTACTCATCATGTTGCCACCATTGTTCCTCTTTTTTGTTCCTGGTATAAAGCATGTTAGCACTGTCCCTGTTGCTACCTAATATGAGTTGTTATGCCTATAATAAAACGTTATTCCAGGAGGCATCTGAGTTCAGTGTTGAGGGAACATGAGTTTGCCACATTCAATAGGAAAAAAGAAAACCAGAACGTTTTTCTCTTTTCCTTTTCCTGGACAAAAATGATGAAACCTCTTAGATACGTCTCAGAAAAGGAAGCAGAGAAATATGTACCATGAAATCTAGTTCCCAGTGCCCTTACATAGAGAGCCGCTTACTCCCCACCTGCTTGCATTCTACAGTGCTCGATTCTACAGAAAACTTGTTAGAAAACAACTTTTGACAATTTAGGGATTGATCATCTCTAAAAAATAAATTTACATCATTCTGATGGAACATTGTGGAGTGTCACCTGAAAAGGATACTTGCCTTCAGTTTATGGTAACCTCAACATCCAGAAACCAAAATTATCTCTGAAAGTTTGTAAATTGCTTTGTAAAGAAGGCATCAATCTCATTATCATGGGGTTGTGCCGAAATTCATTATGCAGTCCTATATCTGAACTGACTGGGAGAATTTTCTCAGCTTGACATAGATCCTTAGGTGGTAGAGACTGATGATCATTGTGAGAAGAAACCACATTTTCTTTTTTTTTTCTCTTTTCATTGTTAAATGTTTCAATTGCATTTCTCACTTTAACTGGGGCTAAGTCACTTACCTGTCGATGGCTGAATTAGGTTTGTTAACAATGAAGGAAAGGAAATTCATTCTTCTGAAAAAAGAATCAATAGCAGTAGACAGTGCCCTCCAAGCAGGAAAAAATATATAATTTCAATGTTCATCATTTAAAATTGTGGAATTCTTATCTTGAACCCTTCTTTTCCTTTGAATATACAATATTAAAATACAACTATACAAGTGATTTATTTCTGAGAAATTCAGCTGAGCATTACAGAAAGAAGATGGGCTTTGAATTCAGACAGACGAGAGTTTGAATCCCAACTCTGTTATTTAACAGCCATATGACTGGCTAATTTATTTAATTTCACTGAATATTAGTTTCCTCCTTTCCATAGTGGGAAATAACAGTAGTTACAGGGCTGTAGTAAATATTAAATTAGGTCAATGATGTATTTAATGTGCTGTGCTTGTCACTCAGTAGGTACCTAAGAATAGTTGGAATTAGCATCACTACATGGTTGTTTCTATTGTAGTGTTATTATTTGTTATATAACTATTCTGCTGTGTTTTATATATTCAGAGAGAAAAACTTTTAGAAGCAAATTAGCCTGGACAAGTTAAAATAAAGAGCTTATTCAGAGAACCTGAATGATAATTAAATATTGATAAAGGGAAAGTGAAAGGTAATTAAATTAATTGGTTGCTAAGGTATTTTTCCCAATTAAAAGTCAATCCCATGGGGTTAAATAAAGACTTTCTGTGTGTCGAAATTTCGTTTATTATTCCATTATTCATCCATTCAAAAACAGCACATTTATGTAATGTGAACTATATGCTAGGCGTTGTGGGAGAGGAAAGATCAAGGGGTAGGAGCATGCAAAGAGAAATTCATATGATAAGCAAGGTGCTTTTTTCAAATCATAAATATATAAAAAATGCTCATCCTCACCAATAAAGAATACAAATTAATAAAACTATCAAATAGGATTGAGAAAAATTAGAAAGACTAATAACATTTAAAATTGGCAAAGAGAGAGAGACATTCTCATCTACTGTTTGGGAGAGTATAAATTGTTACAATTATTCTGGGGAGGCAATTTAACAATATCTACCTAAATTTAAAATGTGCAAGCCTAAAATTCCAATTTTAAGAATTTATCCTATTGAAATAATTTCTTGAGGACATAAAGATATACATATAAAGAGGTTTTGTTGCAGCATTGTTTATAATAGCAAAAAAGGAAGGGGGAGAGCAACAGAATAGTGTACACCTGTATTAGCTATATATTGCTGTGTAACAAATTACCCCCAAAATTATCAGTTGAAAACAACAAATATCTATTACCTTATTTCTTTAAGGGTCATGAATTTGGTTTTGGCTTAGCTGGGTGCTTCTGGCTCAGAGTCTCTCATGAGATTACAGTCAGGATGTTGACCAGGACTGGAGGCTTTGAAGACTTGACTGGGACTAAAGGATCTGCTTCCAAGATGGCCCACTCCTGTCTGTTGGCAGAGGACCTCAGTCCCTCTCTACATGGACCGTGTGAACCTTTCCATGGAGCTTCTTGAGCATCCTCATGACATGGCAGCTGGCTTCTCTCAGGAAAAATGATCTAAAAGACAGCAAGAAGGAAGCTGCAATGCCTTTTATGAACTAGTCTTGGAGATCACACATTATCATTTCTATAATATTCTATTCATTAGCACCAAGTCACCAAATCCAGTCTAAGCTCAAGGGAAAGTGAATTAGGCTCCATTTTTGGAGGGAAGGGTGTTGAATGATTTATGGATGTATTTTAAAACTCTTTAACTTGTCCTCTGGCCACAGATTAAAATTATTCTCACATAGAAAATATACTCATCTCCTTCCAACACCCCCCAACCAACCCTGTTTCAAAAATTTATTGCATCGGTTTAAAGTCCAGAAACATGTCAACTTAATCAGATCCAGGTGAGGCTTCGGCTTGTCAGGTGTCATTCCTTAAGTGAAACTCCTTGAGTATGGTTCCTTAGATCTCAAGCCCTGTGAACTAAAGAGACAAGTTATCCATATATATATACATCCATATACACACACATAAATACATACATGAGGGGATAACTCATCCTATATATATACATATATATATATATGTATGTATATATATGTATATGTATATATGGGACAGGCACAGGATAACCACTCTGGACATTCTTGTTCAAAAAGAGAAAAAATGGGATGTCCAAAGCAGTCACTGTTCCATAGCAATTCTGAAATCCACTCAGCTACATGTTAGAAGTTCTTGATTCAAACTCATTCCTACTCCTGACCAGGAATGATTGTTCATGGCTCTTGGCTTCAAGAACCTCTGAAGGTCACCTGGTACATCAGGTAGATTTTCTACTTTCCTGATTCATTCCTTGAAAGTTAGCCTATTTTGGAGCTGTGTAGTTTTCTCAGTAAAATTTTGGAGTTCCAAGTGCCTGTTTTCATTGTGTACTATCTCCTTCATTCTAAGCTGGTGTTATTTCTGTAATTATAATTATTTTTAGAAACTCTGTGGGCCTCCCATGAATCTTATCAGGGTTCACTTCATTAGACAAAAGCCACACCCACAAATCTCTTCAAGGTAAATTCTTCTCTACCTTGAGCTTCTGCTGAACTATGGAAGGATAGTATCCTTTAGCTTCTTCAAAGCTCTGTTGTTTGAACAGTTCTCTGAGGCACCATCTTAGATCTTCCTGAGGTCATAAGCAAAGTATTTTAAAGCTATACTCTTAGCCTCATCTCTAAACTAGGCTTTCTTGGCAGTGGCCTGGAATTGATCTTTGCTACAAACCCATTTCTTCATTTTAGTTTTGTTTGCCATCTGCAAAGACAGAATTTTTAAAAACCATCCAGTTCTGGCTTCTTTGTGTTTAACAATCCTTCCTTTGGATTCTCTGTTTCCTCTCATATTTCATTACAATCAGCAAGAAGAAACCAGGTGGCACCTTCAGCATTTTACCTGGAAATGTCCTTAGCTAGATCACCTGGCACATCAGGTACATTTTCTACTTTCCACATTACCACAGGGGACAGTCTTACTAAACTTTCTGCCACTATGTAACAAGGATCCCCTTTTCTCCAGTTTCCCTAAAGCTGTTCCTCACTCTCCTGTAAGCTCTCACCCTATGGCAACCAGGCCTCTATTGATACTTTCTGACACTCTCCTAAAAGCCTTTACAGCCTTTGCCCACTGCCCAGTTCCAAAGCCACTTCCACAGTTTTAGGTACTTATTAGGATAGCACCCAACTTTCAGGTATCAAAATCAGTACCATTATCTACTGCTGTGTAACAAATTACTCCAAAACATAGCAGCTTATAACAACCATTTATTATATCACAATTGCTGTGGGTCAAGAATCAGGAAGCAACTTAACTGGGTGGCTTTGGCTCAGGGTCTCTCATGAGATGTCAAGATGTCAGTGGAGCTGTTTTCACTTTTGTAAATTGAAGTATAGTTAATTTACAAAGTTGTGTTAGTTTCAAGTGTACAGCGAAGTGACTCAGTTATATATATATATATATATATAATCTTTCTCAGATTCTTTTCCATTATAGGTATTACAAGATATTGAGTATAGTTCCCTGTGCTATACAGTAGGTCCTTGTTGATTATCTATTTTATATACAATAGTGTATATATGTTAATCCCAAACTCCTAATTTATCTCCTCCTCTCCCTCCCGTGGCATTCTTTTCTTCAGTGGGGCTGGGGAATCCACTGCCAAGATGGTTCACTTGAATGTGTACTGTCAGAGGGCCACTGTTCCTCACTGGCTGTTGGCATGGGACCTTAGTTCCTGGCCATATAGGTCTTTCTTCAGGGCTTCTTGAATGTCCTCATGACAAAAAACTGGCTTCTCTCAGAATGAGTGATCTGAGAGAGAAAGAGAAAAGGGGAAGCTGCTATGCCTTTTATGATCTAGTCTCAGAAGTCACATAATGTCACTTCCACCACATTCTATTCATTAGAAGCGAGTCACTAAGTTCAGTCCACACTCAGGGGAGGGGAATTAGGCTCCACCTTTTGGAAAGGAGTATCAAGAATTAATGGACTTCTTTTACTTTGTGAATGTATTTTAAAACCATATCGATACCCATTAAAAATAATGAGGTATGTTAAAAAATACTAACTTAGAAAAGCATTGTTGATATATCATTAATTTAAAAAAACAGAGCAAGCAATGATATATATAGCGTGATTTTTTATTTTGGGAGAAACCGACCAAATCTTACATATGTAGGTGTAAGCATAAAAGTTTCTAGAAGCTTACAGATGAAAATGTTGATAGTACTTACAGAGGTATGGTAGGTGGTTGGAAATGAGCCTAGTGGACTGCAGAGGAGTGAGTTTTACACATTACATTGAAAAAGAGGAATAATTACAAGTAATTTTTTTACTCTTTCTTTGTGTCTTTCTGTGATTCCAAACTTGCTAAAATAAACATGTATTGCTTATATAATTAGAAGGTAGCAAGTGTGCATAACAGGGAGAGATTTAACTTTTAGCTATAAACATTGGATGGAGATTGGAAGAGAATGGAGATGAGACCTTACCCAAATCTCAACATAATGATCAAAAGCCCAACAGGAACACCAGTTTGTTAGTACTGAAGATCTGATTTGTTGAAAGTGGATAAAATCAGCCCTGTAAATTGTGAAAAACATAATTTCAATTCTATCTGTTGGACCACAGGGTGTTGACAATATTTTAAGAAAGAATATGTAACAAAGGATTTCTGACTAATACAGCAGATTGAAACATGCCTTCCCTACTCTCCTCTCCTGAAATTCCACTACAATGTCAATAGAAGATGAGATAGACACACACACACACACACACACACACACACACACAAATAGAAGAAGAGGGGAGAGGGAGGTAGATATTGATAGAGAAAGAGAGAGGAAGAGAGAGAGAGATTGCAAGAGAGAGAGAGAGAATGAGAGAGAGAAGGAGGAGAGAGAAAGGGAAGGGAACAGGAAGAGAAAGAACAAGAAGGAAGACAGTGGTGTAATTTTGGCAGCTGGAAAGCTGATGGATTAGTGGTGACTGACTACTTAGGCCAGGGGAAGCTGAAATCTAAGCTTACAAGAGCTGAAGCTAAGAAGTATGTCAACTTATGCCAGGGATTTCCAAAAAAGAAAGCTCAGGAATTGAATCCACCGAGTACTTCAAAATATTGGGGAACAGGTAGGGAAGAAAACAGAGTGTTGATTGAACATCTACATAGGGTGTACCCAGATCCTTCCCTCTATACCATTCCCCAGCTGGATAACTGCCTCTTCTTGAATCTGGCAGAAAACTAGAGGTTTACTCTCTGGAGATGTCAAACCAGAGGTCTCCGGACTTAGGACATTCAGCAGAGAGGAGGACGGAGTACCATACCAAAAACAGGGGAACTGAATGAAAGCCTCTATTCTAAACAACCTCTTCCATGGCTCAGCTCTTAGAATGCTGGCAGTCATATTTAAAGGCAGGAGATTAGAGGATTCCTCTCTGAGGAAAGTGATCAGCCAAAGAGGAAAATGAGAAAAACAAAATAAACTACTTGCACTTGGGAGACCCCTAATGAAATGGCTGTGTTCTACTCAATTATCCTTCAGTGAAGCCAAGTCTTTAATAAGCCCTATTCTCTCTTCTCACAATTTTAAGTCCTCTTTCTTAAATATGAGCAAAATAAGAATAACAAGAGATTTGGGGAAACTTTTAACATCAGAGAGACCAAAACAAATAGAAAAAGGTAGCACAGATGAAACAATATAGGAAGCAGAAAAAACAAAAACAAAAAACTATAATCATCTTCAGGGATGATTACATCCCTGCATTACATCCATGACACATGCACACAAAAGTTATAAAAAGAACATTTAGAAAACCAAATAGACCTTAGAAATTTTAAACTATGATACAGGGAGTTACAATTCTGGAATAAAGTTTAGAATGCATTAATGATAGGTATATAGAAAGTTATCAAATGAAAAAAGTTAACTATTAATTCTAGGGAAAACATAACATTATATAAGAAAATATAATACAGTACTTGGCTAAGATAAAAATAATGTTCACATAGACAAAATAATGCAAACTCAAATACTGATCTATTTAAAAATATGATACAGATAAATGTGTGGGTAGATGAAGAAGGAGTCTGTGTGGTGTCCAGGGGTGTCATGATGTATCTTCAACAGTGGGGAGAGCCTAGAAAATCTCTAAAATACAAAATTAATAAATAGTAGAATAAACTTGCTCATTAGAAAGCTGTGGTATGTATTTGTCATTTCTTTTCAGGCTGTCTAACTCCTTTTGAACAACATACTGTTATATTTGGGGAATTTACTGCCATATGAATCCTGTATCCCCAAAATAAACTCCCAAATTCTGTTCCAGTGTCCTTTTCAGCTAGCACAGACACATGTGACCTGGGCTCTGCCAGCAGACTCACTCCCATGAGATTCTGATCTAGAAGTGAGCGACTCGAGGAAGGTGATCCCATATGGAAAACATTTGGCTGGTGAGGGCTGTAGCAGAACAATTCAGCTTTGGAGGGTGGCCACAAGGTTGAGTTCCAGAGCAGAATTGACATCCATGGGGCACGTGGTGGTAGAATGTGTCTTTTTTCAGGGGAGTTTGCTGTATGGTTTAATCACTGTTCTTGGAAGCTTAGCATCCCCATGAGCTACCCCACGTCTAGAGTCAGTCTGTTGTTTCCAAGTACCTAACAACCCTCAGAACTACAGAGGCAAATACGAAAAGAATAGCTAAAGAACTTGAAATGGTTACCTCTGGGAGTGAAAATCAAGGGTGGGAAGAGGTTGATCAGGAAACTGTTTTTTGTCTTTCTCTTGGGCTTTCTAACCATGACTATTTGACTTTCTAGCTATGTACATATATAAGTTTGATAAAAATTAAAACTGAAACAAAAGAAAACAAAGAGACAATAAGAACTATCTTTTGGAGCGTATAAATGCACCACAGGGTGCTACATTTCCTGTTTTTGTCTGCGGGAGACATCACTAACCGATAAAGCTCTCATTCCCTACAGAGGCTGGAATCTCACTCACAGTCGTTCCCAACACTTATTTTTAGGTATATTGGAGTTCGGTCTTCAGTTGAAAATTCTTTGCCATTCTTGGCCTAAGAGGAAATGCTCAGTCTTGTGTAGGCCTGGCCTTGCATTTCTGAACTTAAGTGAAAGCAAGCCCAGAATATTTTTCACGGTATACAGAATTAGAACGTATATCCTAATTCTGAGAAATACCTTTATTAAAGGATATACGTCAGCGCTATAGAACTCTGTTATTCCAGTGAAACTGCTACAGTTGAAAGAAGTCATTTAGGTTTCTGAACATTAACATGAAGATATACTTTGAAGCTTTACAGCACTATGATTAATAGAATTTTATTACCTCAGAGTTTTCATAGTAGCTTAATCTCTTCACTAGCAGTATCAGCCTAGCATTTTATATGAAAATCATGTTCCTTCAAGTCAACATATAGTTAATTCACATCTGGAGACGAGGCTACTATGACAACATGACAATTTATTGTGGTTTGAACACATCTGGAAAAGGAATTATTAAAAGGAAGAGAACAGAAATGCTTTGGGATAGAAAAATAGAATACCAGAATTATCTGGACAATTTTTAACAGTCATTTGCAAGGACTTATTGGCACTCTTTTATCTTGGTGTTCTTTCTTTCTTTTTTCATTTCTATGACACAGTGGTAGGATTATTTGTTCTATAATGAAAACGAGTTTCTGTACAAGATTCAAGAAGCCTACTTAAATCCATCAAACACAGCATCTCCTGGCATTAAAGAAAATGTTTAACTGGATTTATTTCCAACGTTTTTATGAAATGTAGAACAATTGAGAACTAATTAGAGATCTAATAACCCTCTCTACCATTTCTACAGGTTGGACCATTGCTTTATGTAGAGAGAGGTATATCAAAAAATCACTTTCTAAACAGCTTTAGGGTAGACATGAAATTGAATAGAAGGAATACATTTTTCTCTGAATCTACTGTCTTCATTGTAAAGGTACAGAAAGAAGTTAGCTATGAGATGAAAGCCTTATGTGAAATGTGTATAACAGGAGCTAGTGGGTTCCCTCAGAGTTTCCTGACACAGCCATAGCATCTGTGCTATTCCTCAAGCAGGACACATCTGCAATGTCTTTGATTCTTCCTGCTCTCTCACTTCTTTTTCTCAAATTGAAGTATAGTTGATGTAAAGTATTAGATTCAAGTGTTCAACATAGTGATTTGACAATCAAATACACGACAGAATGATCAACACAATAATTCTAGTAACCATTTGTTACATACAAAATTATTACAGTATTATTGACTATATTCCTTATGTTGTCTATTACATCTTGTGACTCATTTATTTTATAACTGGAAGTTTGTACCTCTTAATCCCGTTCACCTATTTTGCCAAACTCTCCCTCTTCCTCCCCGACAATCGCCTGTTTGTTCTTTGTATCAATGAATCCATTTCTGTTTTGTTTGCTCATTTGTTTTGTTTAGATTCCACATATAAGTGAAATTATACAATATTTGTCCTTATCCGACTCATTTCACTTAGCATAATACCTCTAGGTGCATCCATGCTGTCACAAATGGCAAAATTTTATTCTTTTTTAGGGCTGAGTAATATTCCAGTGTCTGTGTGTGTGTGTGTGTGTGTGTGTGTGTGTGTATTACATCTTCTTTGTCCACTCATCTATCCATGAGCATTTAGGTTTCTTCCATATCTTGGCTTTTGTAAATAATGCTGCACTGAATATAAGGGTGCATATATCTTTTCAAATTAGTGTTTTGTTTTCTTAAGGTAAATACCCAGAAGTAAAATTGCTGGATCATATGGTAGTTCTGTTTTTAATGTTTTGCAGAACCTCCACAGTGTTTTCCATAGTGGCTGCACCAATCCACATTCTCACCAGCAGTGCACAAGGGTTCCCTTTCTCCACATACTTGCCAACACTTGTTATTTATTGTGTACTTGATAAATGCCATCTTAACAGGTATGAGGCGGTATCTCACTGTGGTTTTGATTTGCATTTCCCTGATGATTCGTAATGTTGAGTATCTCTTCATGTACCTGTTGGCCATCTGTATGTCTTCTTTGGAAAAATGTCTATTCAGAACATCCACCCATTTTTTAAGTGGATTGCTGGTTTTTTTAAAGAAAAATATTGAGTTGTACGAGTTATTCATATATTTTGGATATTAACCTCTTATCAGACATATTTTCAAATATTTTTCCCATTTGGTAGGCTGCCTTTGCATTTAGTTGATATTTTTCTTCTTGTTGTAAAAGCTTTTTTAGTTTGATATAGTCCCATTTGTTTATTTTTCCTTTTGTTTCCGTTGCCTGGCTCCAATGCCAGCCAAGGGCACCTGCCAGGCCTGGTGAAGTGTGTGTGTGTGGGGTGCTTTGGAAGGGCGCCATACTGTTGGGTTCATGGGTGAACCCAGGGTTAATTGGTTGCATGGGGAGAGTCAGTAATGGCACCTGCCAGCACTGGGCCAGCTAGGTAGAGGGTGAGCTAGAAAGAAAAATACCTAACCAACCAAACAACAAAACTGCCATCCACCAGCTCCTTTATAAGAAAAAGTTCCATCAGATCCCTGCCCCTCAGGCACATACCCTAAAATTAGTCAATGAATCTCCAGGTGCCTTTCATACTGCTGCTTCTGTGCTGGGCCTTGGAGTTTTTGTGAGTGCCCCTTAAGTGTGGATTCTCAGTTTCCTACAGCCCTCTGGCCCACTTGGATATAAGTCCCACTTGTTTTCAAAGTCGGATGTCATGGGGGCTCATCTTCCCTGTGTGGGTGCCCCGGGCTGGGGAGCCCAGTGTGGGATTCAGAGCCCTTGCTCCTCAGGGGGAACCTCTGAGGCTGTGATTTCCCTTCTGCCTGTGGGATGTGGATCCCAGCCAGACCGTGTCTCCACCCCTCCTATTCATCTCAATGTGGCTTTTACCCTTTACCTTTTTACTTATTTATTTTTTGGCCGCCATGTGGCATGAGGTATCTTAGTTCCCCTACTGGGGATGGAACCTGTGCCCCCTGCAGTGGAAGCATGGAGTCTTAATCACTGGACCGCCAGGGAAGTCCCTACCCTTTATCTTTAGTTGTAGCCCTCTTTTTTGCTAGTCTTCAGGCTGTTCTCAGAGACAGTTTCCCCATATGTACTTGTAAATTTGGTGTGTCCATGGGAGGAGGTGAGCTCAGGATCTCCCTACTCTTCCATCTTGAACCACCTCCACACCTTTACCCTGGCATTTTTCAGGCACACTTTCCTATTCCTTGGAATTTGATTGTGTCTGTCTCGTCTTTATTTTAATCACATGGCTAATGTGCAAGGGTACATGTTTATAGCTTGAATTTTCTGGCCCACAAAGTCTCAGAGGAGGTTGCATCTCAGGTCCTGGAGAGGAAGACCCAGCAGGGCATGGTAAATGAGATATGGGGCAATGTGGGTAATGACACAGTGTTAGACAAAGCATCAGAAAAACTAGGCTCCCAAATTTGCCAAAGCAGTGGAGTGACTTCGGGTAAACCACTTAACCTCTGAATCTCATTTCTCTCATCTGTGAAATGTGATTATTGGGTTTAATCATCTCTAAGATCCTTCCCTGCACCCAAATCCCTTAATATTGATGTGGCATGTCTTAATCTTTTAGGATTCCTATGGATGAGTGTTAAACATAGAAAGTATGTAGGAAGGGTAGCCTGTATTCTCTTAGGGTAGAGGTTTTTTTAACCAAAAAGCATGACCAGTGTTAAAGCAGTGCCAAGACAAGTAGAGTTCACGTAGGAATCCATTTGAGTAGTTTAAGGTTGCTATGATTATGTCTAGTGAGAAAAAGATATTAAGAAGCTGAGTATAAAATATCTTTATAGGAACTATCTATGTAAAGAACAAAGCTTCAAGAAAAATGAAAAGTAAACTCCCTAAAGGCATAAAGTGACTCACATATGTTTTTAGTTCTTTGTTTTTGAACAATGTATAAAAAGGAATAGCATACTTTTTTGGTAAGGATACTTAACTTGGTTGGGTAGGATATGGGGGATGGGGGCAATTCAGATCACAGCCTTAGCCCTATCTCACAAATTTGGGCAAATTAATTATTTTTCTTTATTTCTGGTTCATCATCCGTTAAACTTTGAAGGTTTACTGTTTACTTTTTAGTACTGTATAAAGGAAGGTAATTCAGCAGAGTGTTAGGGGACAAAGACTGTAGAGTCGACAGAACTGGAGTTGAATCCCAGCCCCATGACTTACCTCTCATGTGTCCTTGGGAAAATGAAGTAATCTCTCTGAGCTCAGTTTTCTCATCTGCGAGGAGAGAACAGAAATCTTCCATTTTTGCCTGCCAGGCATTTTTCTACCTTCCTGTAGGGACACTCACTCCACGTGCTTAGCTCAGTAGGGGTTGAGCTCTGTTCTATTCACATGGTTGGATATGACCTGGGCCTGGTCAACCACATTGCCCACCTCCCTAATCAATCTCAACTTCAGGGAGAGGCAGAACGCCCAAGGGAGCCAATCAGACAATTCCCTGGGATTTTACTCCCAGAACTGTAGAGAAGATGCTTCTCTTTTGTTTGGGTTACTAAGGGGGTAGAATATAAGTTTGAGTCTATTGACACCCACCATGATTGCTATAGGAAGAGAGATTTTGGCGAGATAGAGACGGGGATAAGGAAAGGGATATAGATGGAGCTCGAGACAGAGGAGAGGATAGAGGTAGAGCTGAGGAGAGGAGTAGAGTTAGGGATAGGAATAGGAATACAGTTAGAGATAGGCATAGAGATAGAGTTGGAAGTAGGAATAGGGATGAGGGTGGAGCTAGAGGTAGGGACGGGGATGAGGGTGGGGCTAGAGGTAGGGACGGGGATGAGGGTAGGGTTAGAAGTAGGGATACGGATAGTACCTTAATAGCACTGTTTGAGCCCTGGATCCAGCTGAACCACTACCCCCAGATCCTTTGGCTAATTGAGCCAGTAAATGCGTTTTGCTTAAACTAGTTTGACTTGTGTTCCTATCATTTACAACTAAAAGAGTCTGAACATAATACTTATCTCATGGAGTTATGGCAAAAATTAAATAGAACAAAGCATGGAAAGCACATACCACAGGGCTTGGCAGGGACAAGTTGCCACAGTAAGACGCTAAACAGACGGTGGCCATTATGATAAGTAATTAAAGCTAACATGTACTTATTTATACTTTTATGCCATTTTTTACCCTAAGAAGGTTCAAGACAAAGAAGGTAAAATATAAAAATTTAAAACACTATAGTATAAAATGTTCATATGTTTTTTTAAAAAAATAAAAGAGAGGCTGCCTAAAATCATAATAAGGCCACAGACACCCCAAAACACACCACCAGATGTGGACCTGCCCACCAGAAAGACAAGATCCAGCATCATCCAACAGAACACAGGCACTAGTCCCCTGCACCAGGAAGCCTACACAGCCCACTGAAACAACCTTAGCCACTGGGGAGACACCAAAAACAGTGGAAACTATGAACTTGCAGCCTGCAAAAAGGAGACCCCAAACACAGTAAGTTAAGCAAAATGAGAAGACAGAGAAACACACAGCAGATGAAGGAGCAAGGCAAAAACCTATCAGACCTAACAAATGAGGAGGAAATAGGCAGTCTACCTGAAAACAAATTCAGAATAATGATAGTAAAGATGATCCAAAATCTTGGAAATAGAATGGAGAAAATACAACAAAAGTTTAACCAGGACCTAGAAGAATGAAAGAGTAAAAAACCAATGATGAACAACACAATAAATGAAATTAAAAATACTCTAGAAGGGATTAATAGCAGAATAACTGAGGCAGAAGAACGGATAAATGACCTGGAAGATAAAATAGTGGAAATAACTACTGCAGAATAGAGCAGAAAAAAGAATGAAAAAAATTGAGGACAGTCTCAGAGGCCTCTGGGACAACAGTAAATGCACCAACATTCGAATTATAGGGGTCCCAGAAGAAGAAAAGAAAAAGAAAGGGGCTGAGAAAATATTTGAAGAGACTGTAGTTGAAAACTTCCCTAATATGGGAAAGGAAATAGTTAATCAACTCCAGGAAGCACAGAGAGTCCCATACAGGATAAATCCAAGGAGAAACATGCCAAGACACATATTAGTCAAACTACCAAAAATTAAATACAAGGAACAAATATTAAAAGCAGCAAGGGAAAAACAACAAGTAACACATAAGGGAATCCTGAAAAGGTTAACAGCTGATCTTTCAGCAGAAACTCTGCAATCCAGAAGGGAGTGGCAAGATATATCTAAAGTGATGAAAGAGAAAAACCTACAACGAAGATTACTCTACCCAGCAAAGATCTCATTCAGATTTGATGGAGAAATTAAAAGCTTTACAGACAAGCAAAAGCTAAGAGAATTCAGCACCACCAAAGCAGCTTTACAACAAATGCTAAAGGAACTTCTCTAGGCAGGAAACACAAAAGAAGGAAAAGACCTACAATAATAAACCCAAAACAATTAAGAAAATGGTAACAGGAACATACACACTGATAATTACCTTAAATGTAAATGGATTAAATGCTCCAACCAAAAGACATAGACTGGCTGAATGAATACAAAAATAAGACCGGTACATATGCTGTCTACAAGAGACCCACTTCAGACCTAGGGACACATACAGACTGAAAGTGACGGGATGGAAAAAGACATTCCATGCAAATGGAAATCAAAAGAAAACTGGAGTAGCAATTCTCATATCAGACAAAATAGACTTTAAAACAAAGACTATTACAAGAGACAAAGAAGGACACTACATAATGATCAAAGGGTCAATCCAACAACAAGATATAACAATTGTAAATATTTATGCACCCAACATAGGAGCACCTCAATACATAAGGCAAATACTAACAGCCATAAAAGGGGAAATCAACAGTAACAAAATCATAGTAGGGGACTTTAACACCCCACTTTCACCAATGGACAGATCATCCAAAATGAAAATAAATAAGGAAACACAAGCTTTAAGTGACACATTAAACAAGATGGACTAAATTGATATTTATACGACATTCCATCCAAAAACAACAGAATACACATTCTTCTCAAGTGCTCATGGAACATTCTCCACGATAGATTATATCTTGGGTCACAAATCAAGCCTTGGTAAATTTAAGAAAATTGAAATCATATCAAGTATCTTTTCCGACCACAATGCTATGAGACTAGATATCAATTACAGGACAAAATCTGTAAGAAATACAAACACATGGAAGCTAAACAACACACTACTTAATAACCAAGAGGTCACTGAAGAAATCAAAGGGGAAATCAAAAAATACCTAGAAACAAATGACAATGAAAACACAATGACCCAAAACCTATGGGATGCAGCAAAAGCAGTTCTAAGACGGAAGTTTATAGCTATACAAGACTACCTTAAGAAACAAGAAACATCTCAAAAAAAAACTTAACCTTACACCTAAAGCAATTAGAGAAAGAAGAACAAAAAACCCCCAATGTTAGCAGGAGGAAAGAAATCATAAAGATCAGATCAGAAATAAATGAAAAAGAAATGAAGGAAATGATAGCAAAGATCAATAAAACTAAAAGCTGGTTCTTTGAGAAGATAAACAAAATTGAAAAACCATTAGCCAGACTCATCAAGAAAAAAAGGGAGAAGACTCAAATCAATAGAATTAGAAATGGAAAAGCAGAAGTAACAACTGACACGGCAGAAATACAAAGGATCATGAGAGATTACTACAAGCAACTATATGCCAATAAAAGGGACAACCTGGAAGAAATGGACAAATTCTTAGAAATGCACAACCTTCCAAGACTGAACCAGGAAGAAATAGAAAATATGAACAGACCAGTCACAAGCACTGAAATTGAAACTGTGATTAAAAATCTTCCAAGAAACAAGAGCCAAGGACCAGATGGCTTCACATGCGAATTCTATCAAACATTTAGAGAAGAGCTAACACCTATCCTTCTCAAACTCTTCCAAAATAAAGCAGAGGGAGGAACACTCCCAAACTCATTCTACAAGGCTACCATCACTCTGATACCAAAACCAGGCAAAGATGTCACAAAGAAAGAAAACTACAGGCCAATATCACTGATGAACATAGATGCAAAAATCATCAACAAAATACTAGCAAACAGAATCCAAAAGCACATTAAAAGGATCATACACTATGATCAAGTGGGGTTTATCCCAGGAATGCAAGGATAAGAATCAATATAAGCAAATCAATCAACGTGATACACCATACTAACAAATTGAAGGAGAAAAACCATATGGTCATCTCAATAGATGCAGAGAAAGCTTCTGACAAAATTCAACAACAATTTATGATAAAAATCCTCCAGAAAGTAGGCATAGAGGGATCTTTCCTCAATATAATAAAGGCCATATATGACAAACCCACAGCAAACATCATCCTCAATGGTGAAAAACTGAAAGCATTTCCACTAAGATCAGGAACAAGACAAGGTTGCCCACTCTCACCACTATTATTCAACATAGTTTTGGCATTTTTAGCCACAGCAATCAGAGAAGAAAAAGAAATAAAAGGAATCCATATCGGAAAAGAAGAAGTAAAGCTGTCACTGTTTGCAGATGACATGATACTATACATAGAGAATCCTAAAGTTGCTACCAGAAAACTACTAGAGCTAATCAATGAATTTGGTAAAGCAGCAGCATACAAAATTAATGCACAGAAATCTCTGGCATTCCTATACAGTAATGATGAAAACTCTTAAAGTGAAATTAAGAAAACACTCCCATTTACCAATGCAACAAAAAGAATAAAATATATAGGAATAAACCTACCTAAGGAGACAAAAGACCTGTATGCAGAAAATTGTATGACACTGATGAAAGAAATTAAAGATGATACAAATAGATGGAGAGATATACCATGTGCTTGGATTGGAAAAATCAACATTGTGAAAATGACTCTACTACCCAAAGCAACCTGTGAATTCAATGCAATCCCTATCAAACTACCACTGGCATTTTTCACAGAACTAGAACAAAACATTTCACAATTTGCATGGAAACACAAAAGACCCTGAATAGCCAAAGCAATCTTGAGAAAGAAAAATGGAGCTGGAGAAATCAGGCTCCCTGACTTCAGACTATACTACATAGCTACAGTAATCAAGACAGTACGGTACTGGCCCCAAAACAGAAATATAGTTCAATGGAACAGGATAGAAAGCCCAGAGATAAACCCACACATATATGGTCACCTTATCTTTGATAAAGGAGGGAAGAATATACAGTGGAGAAAGACAGTCTCTTCAATAAGTGGT